GGGGAGCCTGTGGGAGAGGGCACTGGGGCACAGCGCAGGGACTCACAGCTGGGAAGAGCACCAGAAATGCACCCCAGGCTCTGTACGACGGGTGTGATCTTGTGTTGTTTGATTTTGTTGTGTTTTGTTGTGTTTTTAGTGGGATGAAGCCCTGTTAACGATGAGTAAAGGAGAGAAGGCTCAACTGGAAATCGAACCTGAGTGGGCCTATGGCAAGAAAGGGCAGCCCGATGCCAAGTATCCTTCCGCAGTGGGGACTCGCTCAGGACCTTGGAAATGCTGGTGGAATGAGGGCTTGGGGGAGCGTTCAGTTGTTACTCACAGCAGGCTTAGAATGCTAACGAATATATATATATAGATATATATATAAAATCAACTTAATGGATAGATGCAACTGCCCGTGGGATTTCAAGGAAAACTCCTGTGGGCAGAGCTGCAGGGAACCTGCTGTTTTCTTCCTGCTTTTCCATTCCAGCTGCTTCCATGTGCTTATTCCTGCAGCTGCTAACCAGTGTGGAGGGGAGACAGCAGTGAAATCCTGGCTAGAACTGGTTCTGGGGTCTGAAATGGAAATGTGGGACGGAGGGAAGGATCCTGCAAGGGATGGAGGGAAGGATCCCAGAGCTCTGCCCTAGGGATGGAGGGAAGGATCCCAGAGCTCTGCCCTAGGGATGGAGGGAAGGATCCCAGAGCTCTGCCCTAGGGATGGAGGGAAGGATCCCAGAGCTCTGCCCTAGGGATGGAGGGAAGGATCCCAGAGCTCTGCCCTAGGGATTGAGGGAAGGATCCCAGAGCTCTGCCTTAGGGATGGAGGGAAGGATCCCAGAGCTCTGCCCTAGGGACGGAGGGAAGGATCCCAGAGCTCTGCCCTAGGGATGGAGGGAAGGATCCCAGAGCTCTGCCCTAGGGACTGAGGGAAGGATCCCAGAGCTCTGCCCTAGGGACTGAGGGAAGGATCCCAGAGCTCTGCCCTGGGGACTGAGGGAAGGATCCCGCAGAGCTCTGTCTCATACAGTGTTTGTTTTTTTGAAGCACTTCCCGAGGAAGGGAAGTGATTGTTCTCTCTCCCTCCAACCCTTTCTCGTGCTAATTTAAAGCTCCAGCCATTCTTCTTCCCTCTGCTGTAGGCAGGACAGTGTAACCTCCCCTCAGAGGAAAACCTGTGACTGTGTCCCAAAAATGGAGACACCCCTTGGGCAGCTCAGGTGGGACTCGGCTGCTGGTCCCCAGAGGAGTGTGACCAAGGAAAGGTCTCTGCAGAGCTGGTCCCCAGTGTCTCCTGAGCGCAGCTGTGGGTCTGGGCTAAACCCGGGTCAGTGAAATACAACCCGAGACAGAGCAGGTGGTGAATCCCCTCACACCAGGGGGGTTAACCCTGCGGTTGCTTCTGGGTTGGTTTGTTTGTTTTAAATGTTCCTTAACTGGTGCAAACAGGATTCCACCCAATGCAAAACTCTTCTTTGAAGTGGAATTGGTGGATATTGAATGAAACGAAGAGTTTCCTTTGCTGCTGGGGATCCACTGGTGATGAAGAAAGCTCCTGCCAACTGCAGTTTTGCTCTTGTAACTTCAGGATCTAGTTACGACCGTGGCCTTGTATCAAATCCAGTCTGTTTTCCCTGCCCCCCCGACTGCTGTACAGTAACTCACCACTAAAAACCCACAGTTTGTACGTGCAAGTGACTCCACTGTGTGTGTATCAGCCCTTAAAACTATGGGGGAAACCGGGTCATCTCCAGCAGCCTCTTCACGGGGAGTAGAGCCCCTGAGAGAAACAAGCAGGGGGATGTGTCAGTGTTGGGTTCGTGGTTGGACTCGAGGAGTTTAAAGGGCTTTTCCAATCCAGGCAGTTCTGGGATTCTGTTTTTCTCACCCTGCCCAGTGATCTTTTACTGAAAAGCATTTCCTTCCCTCCCCAGCCCAGGCTGCAGCCTGATCTGCTGTGCAGCTGCTGAGTCTTAGAGCAGCACTCAGCCAACAACTTTAATTAACCTACAATGTTAGAAGAGGGGGAAGAGGAAAACATTCACGTTTATATTCTAGGCATTGCTTAAGTTAGAGGGGAAACAATCCACTGACTTTCTCCTCTGAAGGTGTTTTAGAGAAGTGGGAGGTGTGAGCCCACCCGCTTCTAGCTGAGAACCACAAACCTCCCCGGGCTGTTCCTGCGCCACAGACGTGACTTTGAACAGCACGTGTTGAACTGAGACTCTGACTTGACGGAGGCAACCCAAGAAAGCTCAGAGCACCACTGAATTCCTGGCTTTTATTAGAAAAATGAGAATGATCAACTTCGATCAAAAATGAAAAAAATCTGCTCACGCTGTGTACATGAAAAACTCCAAATACAAAAAATCATCCCAAACACAGATTGTGCTTTTTAAAAAAGAATGCAACATCATTTTGCTCTGCGTTTTTAATTCCTGACCCCACACAGAATAGAAAACACACACGGCAGCTCGCAGAGGCTGCCAGAGGCAGCTGGAGAGTTTCAATGGGAACAACATAAAGGGGGTGGCTGGCTGGGGCCTGGAGGGAGCTCGGGATGGGGCAGGCAGGGAGGGTCTGGGGGGAGAGCAGCGCAGGAGAGGACACCACCAGCCATCCCCCCCTGCTGCTGTCCCAGAGCAGCCCTGGTGGCCAACAACACCTTTAGAGGGGGAAAACAAAACAGAACAACCCAAAATCCTACAGCTTTACTGATTAATTCTATGGAATCATTTATAAGACTGAAAAAAAATAATTCTTCAGATATCTTCATAAATTAGTGCAGGGAATTAAAAAAAAACCAACAAAAACTGTATTTATGGTGAACTAGAGTTGTACAGAGATCCCGTGTATCACCGACCGGCCGACCGGCCGGCACACAACCCTGCTGCTTTTTTTGCACGCAGACCCTGTGAACATCAGCTCGCGGCACATGCAAAGGACCAGGAAGCAGGTTCACAACAGCTCTGCCACGTCCCTCATTTAGAAAAATAGAATCTTGTTTTTTTTTATTTTTATTCCATCTTTGTTGAAACTGCAGCACAGTGACCTCCCCTCGCTCTCTTCGGATCAAGTTGGATGATAATACTGCCCGTAATTCCACGCGTTCTGGTAGTTGTACTGGGAAGAACAAAACAAGACGGTCACGTTAAGTCGGGAAGGACACTGGGGTGACAGGGCAGCGCTCGCTCCCGCAGGCACAGGTGGCATTTCCCCATCTGTACCCAGCTCCGAGGTGACCCTCGAGCGGTGCCCGAGATGTTTTCAGTCACCTAATAAACACACACGTGGTCAAGTGTCCCAGCAGAGGACAGGGCAGAGGCTCACTCCTGCTCCATCGCTTCTCCCCTTTCAACAGACCCGTGTGAGAGGGAGGGATCAGAGGGGCACACAAGCAGGAATCGCCTGTTCCAGCTCCTGTGCGCTGCTGGAGCACAGCCCCGGGCAGGGAGAGCCAGGGCAGACAGCTCCAGAGCCCTGCACCGCTCCCTGATGAGCCATCAGCTCACAGACCCTCACCGAGACATGGCCCAGGGCCTCGCTGCAGCCAGCCGTGTGCCAGCCGTCCTGGCTGAGCCCGGGCAGGGGCTCGGCTGCCCAGTGTCCCATCCCTGGGCTGGCACCAAGGAACATCTCTGTTCCTGAGGAAGGGTTTCTGTCTGCTCTGCTCCAGAACCCCAAGGAAGTGATGGAGTTCCCACGTCAACCACAGACCGAGATCTTCACCGACACTACACATCTGTCCTGGCCTCGTGCTGAGCAGTTTCCCTGTGCTGCGGGAGACACCTTTCACCACCCGACTTTGGAAAGGACACTTGACCTTGGGTGGTTCTAAACCTCGGACAGAATCCCAGCCTGGTTTGGGCTGGAAGGGACCTTAAAGCTCATCCAGTCCCAACCCCCCTGCCAGCAGCAGGGACACCTTCCACTAGACCAGGTTGCTCAAAGCCTCATCCAACCTGGCCTTGAACACTTCCAGGGAGGAGCAGCCACAGCTTCTCTGGACAACCTGGGACACTGTCTCACCACCCTCACACCAAAGCATTTCTTCCTCACATCTCATCTCCATCTCCCCTCTGCCAGTTTAGAGCCATTAGACAGAGAGCAGCTGGTTTGTCTCCCATCTGCAGACGCAGCTCTCACGGGCTCAGGAGGCTCCTTGCAGTCTAGGTAACAGATCTCATTAAACTGCTGCACAAACCCTTCCCTGGGACCCTCTGGGGCTCAGAACGAGCATTCCCAGCCTGCAGCGCCCAGCTCCCCCCCAGCTGAGGGGGCACCAGCAGCACCCACCTTCACCAGCACTGATCTCGTACAGGACGGCAAGTGCTGGAGCTCTGAATTCACAACCTGCCCCGTGGACTGTCAGTCCAGAAGGAAGCAGAGCATGTGCTGGAGGCTGCTGCTGCCGCAAGCAAGAAGAGGAAACCCAGGTGTGGTGTTAGTGAGTCACTCTTCATGCCACTCTAGGGCACAAAATGAAATGCCAGGCAGGAATGGCCCCAAAAGGACAAGCCATTAACAGGCTGATTCAGCACGTGCTGGGTGCCGGTGCTGGGGAACCCAGACAGACACGCTACAGGAACTACTCGTTGGAGAAAGTAACTATCAAAATTGGTGTCCCAAGGCGACTCTCCTGGGCAAAACACTTCAGCACAGGTCTCCTGCCCTCAGCCAGCCATGTCCCCAGCTGCTGTCACACCTCCTTTCAAGTGAAGAGCTGGCCACCAAACTGCTCATCACGCTCCACGCTAGAGACAAATATCTCACACTTGCCTCGACAAAACCAGGGACTCAGTGTTTGCTACAAACTCTCCTCACCAGCTGACACTCGGCCACAGAGAAACACCACTGGGTGCTTCTAACTCTGCTGTCCCAACAGGCACTGGAAGGAGGGACCCGGAGCACACCCACCTGGTACCAGGCGTTGTAGTTGTACGCGGCCTGGTTCACCTGCATGTCTCCATCCATCATCTGTGCCGACGCCAAGGCCGGGTCATCTGTCAGCATTTTCTTTTCATCCGGCTCCTCTGATCTGTGAAGTTAATATTTAGAATCATGGAATCCCAGACTGGTTTGGGTTGGGAGGGATCTTAAAGCTCCTCCAGTCCCAACCCCCCTGCCAGCAGCAGGGACACCTTCCACTAGACCAGGTTGCTCAAAGCCTCATCCAGCCTGGCCTTCAACACTTCCAGGGAGGAGCAGCCACAGCTTCTCTGGCCAACCTGGGACACTGTCTCACCACCCTCACACCAAAGAATTTCTTTGGCTGGTAAATGGTATCTTAGGTCAAATTCTGAGCATATCTTTGTGTGAGAAATGTTAAAACAGATAAAGGTAAGTAATATTTCCAAACTTGGTGCCCTATCCAAAAAACAAGGTAACAAAGTTTGATTCTGAGAAAGACAGTGGTATATTGTGCTTCAGAACAACAGTCTGGGTTTTAAATTGTTCTGGTGCTGAGTCAGCAAAAGCATGTTTCTGCTTAGAGACTGAGTTATTTTCACCAGTGCTGTTTAATTTTTCTGCGATGCAGAATTCAAAGAGTTATTTCCCAATAAATCCATTTCCAAGTCTTTTAGCCAACAGTTCAGCCCCAGTGATTAAAACACCAGTGACTTGGCTCCTGCAAGCAGCAGGTTTAAAGTTGAAAAACATTTCTATATATTCACGGACTAAAGAAAAAAAAATACAATCCCTAAGATTGTTCCCTGAACTATTTCCAAAGCGTTTGTATCAGCTGCAGCTCAGCGTAGTACATACTCCAGCTCCCCACACTGCAGCATCGATCGAGCTAATTCACACCCTCAGGTGAACAGACTTCCTACCCGTTCTCTGCTCTCCTTTTCAGAGAATCCTGCTCCTTCAGAAGTGCTTGGTGTTCATCATAGGCATCCAGGAGCCTGAAGGAGACACAAAGAAATAAAGCTTTGCTCACCATTTTCATGTCAACTTTTAAACACATGAGCAATCATGGCAAAACGTCTACTTCAAACTGTAAAAATCAAAAAACATTGTAAAAAAAATCCTCAGTCACCATCAAATTTTAATCAGAAATCCACCACAGAAGATGGGAAAGCCAAAAAACTTCCTTTGATTCCACAGTGTGTAGTGAGGAACGTTCTGTGAGCTCTGAAATTCCCACCTTCCATCCCACTTCCTGCAGGTTTTATGGAGTCCCTTTTATAAAGGAGTTCTCCAAAACTCGGTGTCTGTGACACCGCTGCTCTGTGCCAGCGGCTGCACTCCCCCGGCTGCGTGCGGGCGCCATCCAGAGCAGCACTGACATTCAGGAATCAGCATTGCTTTAAATAGTGGAAATGGGGTTTATACTGAATTATAATAACTGCAAAATTAAAACAATTGCAGAACTACAACACCTGCAGCCTTTTCCCAAAGAACGTGGCAATGACAGGTGTATTTAACGCAGCACCAGAGCCAAACTCCCCACACATCAGTAAATATCATCTCATCTGCTGCATGCCGCGCTTCACAAGGTAT